TGAGACTTTAGGGCTGATCTAAAACTTAGGTAAAACTCCTATTGAATTCAAATCGGACTCTAGCAAACAAAGCAGAGAGCTAGGCCTAGGACAATGCAGGGAGTGAGATTTCCTCTGAAGAGAGAGACATGGAGACAGCCTTACTCTCCAGTGCTTTGCACCCCATTGAATCATTTGTACATCTGAGAGCCTCTTCTAGATTGCATAAAAATAAAGAATAGTGCAACATGCATAAGACTAGAGACTCATGGCTATGACTACTTCCACATTATAAAAGGGCTTATTCCTGTCAACATTAGTCCCCAAGCTTGTCTTTTCCTTACACAGCAGTTCTGTCAGCACGACAGAGTACATGCATACCTGCACGACCCGGCTGAAAGGATAGATGTCTCCTCAAGTTCCAGGGCCAGCAGCCAGTGGACAAAATAGTTATTCACCCTAATAAAACACGCCTACCAAACTGCCTAGATCAGATTGTTCATTCATCAGTCTGGAGACGCAGGCCACAGTTAAGGGAATATTTGGCAGCTGACTGACAGCCCAAGGAGCCTAGGAATGTGTGTGTTTTCACAGGCCAGCTGGGCACGCATTCACTTTCTGGGCATCAGAACCATTTAATTGGATTAGCTGGCACAAATGGGTAATTCACACAACAGAGATTCGTCCTTGTGCCAAGAATCAGCATGAGTCTATCACTGTCCAGAAGAGTGCCTCTGTGATGCTGAGTTTATTTAGAAAAGAAAACACRAAGCAGGAGAGAAGAGAATGAGAAGAAAAAGGACAGAGCCCGTGCATAGGCAGAAATGCATGTAAGAGAAATATCAAAGATTGGTCTCATATGCAGAAATGCAGAATGTAATTTAGAGATACACATTAAAAAAATTAGCTTTGCACTGAGGAGGTTTGCATCTAGCAGGGCTTAATACCAAAGACGCACAGACCGTGTTTACTTATCAGAATACTGAACAAATTGTATATGCCAGAACCAAACTCACCAAGACATTTTTAATTCCTGTATTGTTGTTTTTCCATAGAATCTTCTCAGGCTGCTCCATCTATTGACATCAGATCTGCTTTCAAAAGAAGGTAACCTCAAATGTTGATCCTGTAGCTTTCCTCAGTGATAGATGCYGATAGTATGTACAGAGTTCGCATCAGCCCTAATAGATAAATGCATTAAGTACTTTTTAATACAAGCTACCTGTGATATGAAATATTGTACTGTGAAACTACAGTGTCATTGCTGTAAGGGGAGGTTCAATATTCAAGACAGAATTAAACATTTGTTTCTATAGAGTTTTTCATAATTGATACATTCATTCAGTAAAGTATTCCACTGAATGTTACCTGAAAATTGTTAGCTACAATAAAAAAGTTCCTGTTCTCAGTCCTGTACTGATCAAAGGCAGACATAATTCCCATTGATTTCAGAAAGATAGGAGTTGATCTTATATTATCTTGCAGAAAAAAATGTGTTATAATAGCATCAGAAAAATTACAAATTACAGTCTGTATGATAAAGCATTGTGTCTGACCTCTTTATTAATCACTTTTGAGATTAAATAGTTATTAAAACTAGCAAAATGATTTCATCTGTATATTTTATGCAGAAAATGGCCTTACTAGGATGGAATTATTTAGATGGAGAATATTTTATAGACAGAAAATGAATGCATTTTGTTAATTTACACATACAAGCAAATTTGTGACTTGGAGGTAATTTTTTTTATTAGGAGAGATGTGATTTAAAGAGTAAATACAGATGATATTAAATTCAAGGTGCACTCCTTTCTTCAGCACACTTTTTTTTAAAAAAAGTGCAATGCTTATTCTGTTCAAGCAGGTGAAAATTTTATTCTATAAAGGATACCCTGTGCAAAATTTGGGATGGAATCTTGGTATCATTTGACTTCACACTTGCAGGATTTTGCCCTTATTGTTTACAAGCATTGAGGACATTGCTACAGCAATGTATTTTATGACAAGATTTTACTGCTATCACATGATAGAAAGGGATGCACCTTCATAAGACTATGATTTCATTCATATAAATGTACAGTGTCTGCTCTTCTTTTTTTAACTGATTTCTTCCTTCATTTAGAGAGAAAGGTTAAATCTTAAGTGTAATGCTTCGCAATCTGGTATTTTATGTGGCTATGCATTGTGAAATGCATTGCACACAGCAGTGCAAATCTTTGTTTTACATTCATAGCAAAGATCAGCACAAGCCCTTTGTTTTTATATGCACACATTTATGAAATGAAAAACAAAGCTCTTTGTGTTGACTGGCTTAAATATATTTGTGTTACTGAAATCTAACACAAATCTTGGCAAATTTGTGTATACAATTACAAAAATTTGTCATCAAAGTAAAATAAGAAGCAATACAAACCTTTGTGTTATTTTTCACAAGTGCCAAAGGCAACATAACTTATGTGAAAAAGAAGACAAGTTTGTGTTGATTTTACACTATAAATWGTGTGTCTGAAGAGAGTTGTGTATGAGAGCAACGTGTGTAGAGCGTTTGCAATGTGTGTCATCCAAATCTTTCTGTATTAAACAAAGATTTGATCTTTTTTTATTAATAACAGCGGTGATGGACAAGACGATGCAGGAGAACTTGACTTTAGTGGTCTCCTGAAACGTAGGTGAGAACCAAGTGATGCAGTGAGCAGGTGTGGATTGCAAACCATTAGGTTCGCACACAGAAAGAGTCAGGTGTAGCTTTAATCTCTTCTTAAGAATTTTGTCATTTTTCATTCTTTTCAATGTTTCTAACTATCATTCTCATAAAATAATATGCAAATGTTCAGTTCATTGTACCTGTAAGTATGTGTGCAGAAAAGAAGCCTCAGATCTGAGTGTACCAGGAAAAAAAGTGAGCTACAAATTAGAGACACTAATAACATTTAGTGCTTGCATGAAAAGTAGAGAGAAAGAATTTCCTACACAGGGATGAGTAGTTCAGAAAATTGAGCACAGAAGGAAGAAAATTGCTAGAGTTAAATTTACCTTTTTGGTACAGCTTAACTTGATTTTCATAAACATCCTGAGGCAAAATATCATATATATCATGGTTTCAAAACATAGAAAATKATACTAATTTGTTGTGCCATTCTGTTTCAGTATGTGTAAACCAACGCTCAGTGGTGGTATATTCAATTTTAATGCAGTGATAGGGAAAAATTTGGACATATGTTTCTCTGGTTCACCTTTAAATATCGTGTATGGTGTTACAATAGTTATTTCTGCAGTTGTTTCAGACCTTAGGACYAGTTAATTAATAGATTAGGACAATCCATGTTGAAGAAAATTTTACTTACCCACCTGTATCAGTAAGTCATTTCCTCATTTTTAAAATTTATTTATTAGAACTCACAAAAAAATACATATATACACCACAGAAATTGCTGGGAGTAAGACAGAGAACTGGAAAAATAACTAGTCCCTTTCTTTTATCTCAGCTTTCTCTGAAAGGGAAAAATACAATATGCAGACTTAATTATATAAAAGTTCACCATGTGCTTAAACAGGTTGCATAGAGAGGTTATGGAGTCTCTGTTCTTGCATTCTTGATATTAGAAAGCTGTCCAGACAAGCTCCTGGGCAATGTGCTCTAGGTGACCTTGCTTGAGCAGCGGGAGTTGGACTAGATCTCCAGAGTTCCCTTCCAACCTCAGCCTTTCTGTGATTCTGTGAAGTATGATGGCAAGGATGATATTTAAGCTACTAAAGAATCTAACTCGTTTCTTACAAAGGGAAAAAAAAAGTTTAGTGCTGAAATCACTGCTGTTAAACAGGAGTTAAAAWGTTAAACAATTGCTTTTAAGTTAGAGTGGAGTGATCAGGCAAATAGGTACAATTTTGAGGTAAAAGTAGGAATTGAAAGATTGAAAGAACAATGTGAATTAACTCAAGTTCACCAGGTCTTTGGTGTTTTTCATCTTCTCATCCCTAAATAGGATCTTCAGTTTGACATTTTACCTTACTAATCCAGCCTACCATGACAGTTATCCTGACTGCCTGGCCTGTGGGGTGTTTTATTGGTAACAAGAGATTTGCATGCATATCTTGGTGTTCTTCTGGAAAGAGAATTGTGAAATGAGTCATGATCACATCATTAACAAGTAACTCACAGGCTTATAAGATAAATACAGCATATAAACATAGTATAACTATTGTGTGGTTAATGGGCAAAGAAAACTTTCAGTTTTTAAACACCATTATTTGATATTAGTTAAACTGATGCTGAAATGCAACCTTATTTCTTAAGAATAAGAAGGCAGGCTGTTACTTAATTCCTAGTGTGGATATTAATATCCATTTTTGTCAAGACAAATGCAGGTCAAATTTTCAGTTAATTTCAATTTTCTGGGAGGCAATGCTATGTTCTGAAGGTGTATGCCTTTTTTGTGTGTGGTTATGGTACCAAAGAAAGAGCTAGAACTTTTCACCTGTGGTGCATCAGTCCTTGAAATATGTTTTTTTAAAAAAACCTAAATGCAAAGATTCTATATACTGCTTCTTTTCTAATTTCATGCTGGTCTTGCAGGAAGATAAACCAGTTCTTTTCTGAGTAAGACACTGCATGACTGGTTATCCTTTGTCATTGCAATGGGCCATTAACAGCACGAAATTCTAAAAGGATTTCAAAATCTAACAGGATTTCAAAAACGCTCATACATTTAGGTCCTTTTTAAAAAAATACATCTTTCAACGAAATGCACCTCTTCAGGGAAAAGATCTGATTTTTTAGCTATATCWATCTGCTTAGAAAATGTTGAACATTGATTGCCCACTACCCACAGCAGAAACTATTGTGGTCTCAGAACAAGATTTGTTTGTTTTAAGTGTCAAAATTTGTCCTCTAGTTATGCAAGAGGAAGAAGAGTTGGGAATAAATTATTTTAAACTGGTTGAAAATCAGGATACTCTAACTGATCCTTATTCTCAACTATCACGTCACTTAAGGGGGCAAATTATCTTGAGTCACATGGATATGTGAGTGTTACTCTCCCTAGCATGGATAAGAGTTACATGACAAGCAGACAGCCCTTGAGATGACACTTCTACCCCATAGAGTATGTCAGCTTTTATATATGTTTTCAAGCTTATTTTGAAAAGCTGCCAAGCAGAAGAAATCTCCCTGAAAAGACAATATGTATAGTACATAATCTTCAGAAATCATGAGAACAAATGAAATATAAATTACATTCAGGAAAACATGTCTAAGAATTTTTCAAAGAGAATGATGTGCGTATTTCAAAGACTCCTCTGTGAATTTTTTTCCCCTTTAAAAATAGCACTGGCACACTAGTAAATTAATAAACCTCATAGATTAAACGACATAATGTTTTTTATATTTTTTTCCATAATTACTCATCCAAATATGCAGAGATTCCTAGGGATCCCAGTGCTACATTCTATATTACTATAGCCAAAAAAAATCSCTCTCTGACTTGATAGTTCTCAACTATAACAGTATCTTGCTGCAAGGCTCTGTCTTTTTTATTTCTTAAATATGTATTTYCCCACTCTGACACTGAAAGTGCTGATTTCATTAGACCAGCAAGATTAAGTCAGAGTGAATCTGGTTTGTCAAACTTACAGAAAAGAAGGTCAAAGTTTCTGCTGCTCTTCCTGGATCATCTTTCTAGCAGTTTAYTTTTTTTAAGCTGTCAATCTCAAAAATGATCAATTTGTTTAAGATGCTTTCATTATTCTTTCATTTAATGGCTGCCCCGTGAAAATAATTATCTATATTTCACTGTGTATCTTAGCTCAAGTATAAATTTTGAGGTTGTACACACTAAATGTACAATTGTACAAATGTTCAGTCTCTACAAAAAGGCGTATAAGGCTCTTACAGACCAATATATTAGTCTTGCAAGTCCAGGTTGGTATGGAAATCCCTACTTCCTATCCATATGCCAATTTTAAACGAATCTGAGAAGTACTGATAGAACTATAAATTGAACCTGATTCTCTTGGATTTCAATACGTCCTGTCATAGGTCACTACTAGTAACAGCAACRGGGATGCAGGCTTGGATAGTTTTTTAACTTAATTATGAAATGAATAGGTTAGGSTGATTCAGTTGAGCCGTCATAAATAACTGATTCCTTGGGAGTTACAACAGATAAAACTGATTTAAGGAGGATTATCCCACTTGCTATTTTAGGATTATATTATGAAACTACTCTTTTTTAAAATGAAGAAGTATAAAAGCTCTCATAGTTGATTACATCAGAAAGAAACTAAGACTTGTATACAAATTCTCCTTACACTTTGAAGAACTATCAGCTAAGGTCAGAATATCATTCTGAGGTATTCCCCTGATAGTAAAGCTTGAATTCCCTTACCAATGGGCATTTGGAAGGTTTTTCTTCAAAGATAAAAAAAAAATACAGTCAGTCCTCAAATTTTGACAGAAACATTTCTAACCTCATGGACTCAGTTCCGCCTTCCTTCTGGTGTGATGAGGCCTCACTAACTCTTCTCCCACAATTTTGTTTTGCTACTACTAGGGAAGTTAAGCAGCAAGAGGAAGAACCTGAGGTAGATGTGTGGGAACTACTGAAGAATGCTAATCCCAGTGAATATGAGAAGATTGCTTTTCAGTATGGTATCACTGACCTGAGGGGCATGTTAAAGCGTCTGAAGCGCATGCGCAGGGAGGTGAAGAAGAGTGCAGGTATGGATAAGGCAGAATATTCTTGCATTTAATAGTCAAACATGAGCTTTAAAACCCCAGATATACTGCATTTTTTTGGAAAGCGGGGGCAGTGAAGCCTCCCCTTTGCTTGCACACTGTCTCCTACAYCTCTAGTCTTCTCAAAGAGACTGCAAGGTGTTGATTAGGTGGTTTGCTCCACTGAAATTAGCCTAAAGACCTTGTCCCATTCCAGTGCCTAGCAAAAATACCCCTCAGTCTTGGCCACGCAATAGTTTTTAGTAGAACAAAGTCCCTCATTTATGTGAAAAAGTTGTGCCTGGTTAAACACGAGAGTAATTAGATCTTGTGTTATCAGTAATATCTTCTGCTTTGACATTTATCTGAACTCCCAGTTGGATTAAAAACCCACCYGGCTGTGTTGGATAGCCACATTCAGGGCTGTCCCTCCCTATCTACTGAATAATACAAATGGTACAATACATACTTAAATATTGATATGAGTTTATATATATATATGTGCATGTATATATATGCATATATAGATATATATGTATATATTGCATAACATGTATACACATACATAAACATATAAATACAACACAGTCTCCGCAATAATACTATGGTCTTTGCTTGTTCCTGGATAGCATTTCAGAGAGGATGCAGTATACATCCTCTGTTCCACCATTTTCCACCATTTTCCTGGAAGGTTCCCTCTTGTGTAGGTGAAATCCYCCAGCTTGCATGAAATCCTCTTCCCAAAGGAAAGGAAGCAGGGCCAAAAGCTTTGTATGCCGTGCTGGTTCTTATCCCTTAYATCAGCCATAGGGACCAATGGCAAATGAATGAACTTCCAGCTACTTCTGTCCCAAGCTACTCTGACTTCTGCCAGGGACTTGGCAAACAATTGGCTTGTGTCAGAAAGTGGTGAATATGAAGACAGTGCAAACCTATTTTTGCTAACTGTTTTTGGTTCTGCACTGAATTTGATGCAGCCAGACGAGATCTGGAGCAGTATCTTGGTATGTAGATATGTGTATTCCAGCTTGACTTACGTTCTTAAAAGAAAAACAAGCTGTTGTATTTATTCAAAATTTATTTACGCAAACTGGTTTATAGCCAACTGGGCATTCAAAGAGCCATCGTTTTTTCTTGCTTTTAAAATAATTTGTTTTCTGACATTCTAGTGTACAAACTCATAAAGATAGAAATAGATATATTTCCTATAGTTTTCATCAGTATCCCATTTCTGTTTTACCTCTCCTCAAAGAAGAATAAGGAGACATCCAGTATAAAATAAAAATAACTCATTTAGAATTATGGAATGTAAATCTTTGTATCTTTTTAAACATTTAATTAATTTAGAAACTTCTCATTSAAAACATACCGTTGAGACACAGCCTGCTTAAAATAGACCCTAAGAGTTCATCTAGAAAATAAGAACACAACTTTTCTCAACAAGTACAAAGCTAGCATAAAATAGGCTGCAGTATTCCGGCTGTCTGATATAYCCTCTTTCCTCCTTTAACATCAGAGGTGTGATGTTACACATTAATTCTTGCATTTGCTATTATATCTAATTCTGGTCACTGTTGAGGGAGGAAGAGGAATGGACATGACAGTAGTAGTAGTTTAACTGTCTAGGAGTGCTCCCTAAAGGATGAAAGATGGGGAAACCCCTCATCATCCCCCACAAGCCTGAGGCAGGAGGAATGGTGGAAGCTGGTGCAGGAACTGGACAGCTGGCAGGAAAAAAMTGCTCCCTGTGTAGATGCATCACATGCTTTGAGCTTGGAAAGGAGCAGCCTTGAGCCACCAAGACTGCTTTGTCTGGTCCCTCATCCCAGTTCTCCATTTAGTAGGATGGCATTGCCAGTCTTATCGGGATTTTTCAGGAGATTGTTTTTTCTACAGCAGGGTCTCTAGATGGTGGGGGAAATGTATATTGTATTGAGTAGATGGGAGTAGCTTTCATTTTTTTCCTTTCACACCATCTTTTACTATCAATTGAAATCTGTTACACTGCAGCCAGCAACMTAATAAACCCTGCTCTAATTCGGTAGTTCTGCTCCTACCAATCACATCCCTTGCAATCAGATATATGCATGATATAAATCTTACCAGAATCTGCTTATTTAGCTGTAGAAATTTTCTTTGCAGCACCATTTGTTTTTGATCCACTGAATATATATTCCTTTGGGTTTGATTGTTGGGGCTGGCCATAACTAAAAAGTCAATCCTAACATGTTTTGAAATATTAGAGATGTACTCATCTTACCTTGCCCAGTGGCATACTTTTACATCTCAAAGTCGTTGGAGGTATCCACTGACAAATTTTGCCCGGTTTTAAGTATTTTCCCAAAATTGTACAGCTGCAACATCTATCATAAATAGAATTTGCACCCTGCAACCAACAGAAAGAATCAGGAAAGATAATGCGCGTTTTAGCCACACCGATATGTTTATTCTGGAAACTCAGTAGGAGTTTAAGCTTAAAAATCATTGTTAATTTTCACAGCAGTTCTAGTAGAGATCTGCTTCATAACAGATTCACTGTAAAGATCCCATAGGTCCAACTGTATACAGTTTAACTTTGACTTAGTGCTTCTCAGCAAGCTGTTAAAAGTATGTCTGTGTAATACTGGCCAGAATGCATCCCCACTGCCAAGTCGTATAGAGAAACAAGCTTAAACTTCGTTGGGATAATCAGGTCAACATAGCTCTGCACTTTGGCTAATACTGTTTCTGGGACTTAAACTGATTCATTTGGACTAGTCTAAGAATGTTGGGCAATTCATAATGCATGTATGTTCTGACAGTTTTGTTGAGATTTATGCAATGTGCTTTCAGCATTCATGTTCTCTTTTGTTTCTCGTCTTCTTTCACAATAATGCTTTGCTCCTGCAACAGCTTTTGCCAAAGGTCTTGATCCTGCATATCAGGTAGACAAAGGAGGTAAAGTGCGGTTCATGGTGGAACTGGCAGATCCAACAGTAGAACTCAAGTGGTATAAAAATGGCCAAGAAATACGACCAAGTGCAAAGTAAGTGGTTTTGCTGAATGTAAGTGATGTACAGCTAGTCACAGCRTTTCTGTTCCTCAGATGTTGCTCAACAGCACAAAATCTTAGCACCTTTCTCTTCCTGATCCTATGAAAAAAATAGATATTAGCAAAAGCACTGCTACAGAGAACAACAAATTCTCTTTATTCTCTTGCTGCATTAGTCAATGAAAAGATTTGCAGCAGTGTTTCTTATAAAATATGTAATAAAGAGGGTATCATTTCTTTAGTCCCTTTATCTGTCACAAGCAGTTCAGAACTGTTTCACAGGCAGATATATGGATACAGCGGGACCTGGATAGGAYACCCCAGTGCATTTCTTCCAGACTGCTGAAGCAGCTGTCAGATGCTAATAAGCTTTGGTCATTACAAACCTGGAGCAGATCTAAACTGGTGACATAAAGGTGAAAGGCTCCATATCCTGTTACTGAAGCCCCATATTCCATTACCAATCTCTCATGCCATCTGGCCTACCAATAACAGCAACTTCTTAACCTCGGCTATTATTGTACCTTTTAAAAATGCTAAGAGTGCTGGAATGAAGATGGTCTCCTGTTACTAGTTATTTTCATCAYTACTTATCTAGAGTTTCAGGCATCATTTTATTTTGCCATCCTTCAGAGCCTGTTATTTTTAAGTTTTTTTCATATCATTTTTTGATAAGCTAGAATATGCTAGTTGTCAGTCTACCCTGTAGATTTCTTACTTTTTTTTTATACAAAGTCTATAATATTTCTTATCCTTTTTGTTGTATACACCAAAATTTCCACCTGTAATAATACCAAAAAGGCTTTCTAGATAAAACAAAAATAAGATATCCAACAGTTTTCTAATCTATCTTTGCTCTATTCCTTTTTGGACAGATACATTTTTGAGCACAAAGGTAACCAGAGAATTTTATTCATCAATAACTGTACAATGACAGATGATGCTCGCTATTACGTAACAGCTGGTGATGAGAAATGCTCCACAGAACTGTTTGTGAGAGGTAATTTTATCTGCTTGTTCTTATTTCATAGTGTCACCTAGAATTGGCTTGGTTTCATTGACTGTCACAGGAATTAACAGGGAGGATGTGGCTCAGATATATCTGTATTTGTATTAGGAGCTTTTAGAACACTCTGTGTGCATTTCTGTGATGACTAATTTTCCCTTGTCCCTTATCTATCAATTTAGTAATAATTCTCAAATAGGATTTGGTTGGTTTCCWTCTATACACTGGTATCTAATTAGAGTGTAGCCCCCTTTCATAGTTTCAAAGTCATTTTGGAGATGCACTCATCACAGTGTTGGCTTTCCCTAACAGCACATCAGACACCTGATAATACTGATACTCTTGATCCAACTGATCTGTTGCAAGTACCCTCAGACCAGTCTTTCCATCTGTTATTTTTAGTTCCATGTGTCCAAATTTAAGGGAGGAGTCTATCAAAAGCCATAGGTGGATGGCCAGTTCTTTACCCTCTTGCCTTCCACAGTGTTGACAGCCTTATTAACAACATTAATGGTGTCACTCTGACATTCACAACAAAGCAAGTGTGAAGGGATTTCTTCACTAGAGATTCTTTAGAAAATGATTGGGGAGTCCCTGTGTTCAGGAAAATAGAACCTAAAGTGAAAGACGATATCATACATTTCTCAAAGCTACTTAACGTGATGGATCCGATTGCAACTATGAAAACAATAGTTTAAGAGTGGATACTCTTGCTATTAAATCAACTTGAATTTTGACCACAGGAATGGGTTAAGCCAATAAAGACAGAATATTATGTTGTATTATTGTGCCTAGCAGGTTGCAGAACCTCATGAAAATGTCATTTTCCGAGAGGGATCTGTGTGAGGCAAGAAGGGGATCTCASCTTCTCATATTGACTTGTAAAACTGGTCAATATAAAGGGACCCAAGACAGGTGTTTTCTTGAACAAAATATTTTTTAATTCCCATTTTTTACTGGCACCTTAAAAGACAACCTCCTTTCTGATTTCAGATAGGAGAAGCTGCACGGAGACTGACATTAGAATTTTTAAGCAGTGTGAACTTCTATAGCATGCTTTGAAAACCTCTTTTATTTATCTTTCTCTCTCATATTATAAATCTGTAATTTTCTCTTGCCAAAGATCCTCCAATTTTGGTGACCAAAGGCCTGGAGGATACCAGTACCTATGTTGGTGAACGAGTAGAACTGAGCTGTGAAGTGTCTGAAGATGACGCAAATGTGAAATGGTAAGCTACATTTTGAATAGATATTGAGAATAAAACCCAAAATGCTTAATTGCAGAAAAAAAATGTGGACATCTTGTTCTATATTGGTAAACTTTTAAACTTTTTTTTGTTCCAGAAAATCTCAGAAAAGAAAAATCCACAACATTTAAAAGTGCAGCAAAAACAAAAATATGTTTATGCATTCTTGGTTTAGTTCATTTAAACTTTTGCTTAAAGTTTTAGTAAAATCTCTTCCAGTCCATGGAAGTTGTATCCACCAAAGATTTTTATTGAAAAATGATCATTCTTTGTTTTCTGTTAGGTTTAAGAATGGTGTGGAACTCACCAATGAACCTAAATCTCGATATCGAATCAAGGTTGAGGGTAAAAAACACACTCTGATTATAGAGGAAGCTGCAAAAAATGACACTGCAACTTATTCAGTCATGACAACTGGAGGTCAATCAGAGGCRAAGCTTGCTGTTGATCGTACGTATAATACCTCTTCTTGCCTTTTCTTGGGGATTAAAGGGAGACTTCTCTCTCTTATCTTAATTTCTCTGTCTCAGACCTCCAGGATCAATTACTTTCTTTTAGACCCTGTTTGCACTAATAGATGATGACCAAGTCCTTGTTGAAAACTCTGTCACTGTGTTAAGATGAGAAACAAAGTTATCCATACAAAGTTATTATGAGTCAGCAAAGTGAACTTTTCTCTTCTACGTATTACTCATATTTGGACTTGGGACCCTTTTTTATTAATATATATGTTGGAGGCATTTTTTTCTGACTTGCAGATTACTGTCATTGCTGGTAACAGCTCTGTGACAGAATTATAAACTATTGTTTTACATTATCATTAATATCTATGCTTATGTTTTTCTAAGTGAGACCACTGAAGATATCCCTTGCACTAGAAGACCAGACTGTGAGGCTCGGACAGGAAATCCACCTTAAGTGTGAGATATCTGAGAATGTGGAAGGGAAGTGGTACAAAAATGGGCAACTGGTTGAAGCTAGTGACCGGGTAAAGCTCTATCACAAAGGAAGGTAAATACCTTCAGTATTGACTTAACTTGTAATTAAGTGACATTGTAAGGATTTGTCAATGTGTGGGTTATTTCACTGAGATTTATTTGCTTCTTACCCTTAGCCTCTGGCCTTCAAACATTTTTATACTTACCATCATAAAGGCCACACTCCTTGCTCCATTTCAGCTTATGTCTTTTGGTTGTAGGGGATAACAATCACATTTTCTGATTCATCTACATTCCACAYATTAACTTTTCTTGACATTGCTGTTGCTGTTAGCATGGAACATCAGGTTGCAAGGACAAAATAATTGTTAGACAATACTAACAATATATAGCCTAAAAATTCCTGCGTTTTTTATGTCAGCTCAGAATTCGTATCTTTACCAGGCAAAGTATGTGAAGGTTATCAGTTTCCTTTGCACTTATGATCTGTCCTTTTCCATTAAAACTTTGTCAGTTTTAAAAATAAGGAAATAAAAGGTCCTGTCTTTAACTACAACTCATGCACTTCAGCATGGAGCAGTTCATAAAACTGAGGCTTGTACTAGATGCTGCTAAACAGGCTATGAAGTGATCGTATTGACCCTATAATACTTCTTAAGTCCCAGTAATTGGGTAGTCTGGACACAAGTGCTAGCTGTGCAGTAATCCCTTGCATTGACATAAGGTAAAGTAGCCTTCTCCAACCCTTGAAAGCCCATGGAATGATGTGAGGGGAGGACAGCAGTGAACAGTGAGTCCTAACTTGAACAAAGCTTAGCCTGAACAATTGGTAGGAGAGAAAAAAAAATCACTATATTCTTGGAAGACTCAGTTAGGTAATAAGAGCATGTTATGCTTTACTTACACGTTTCTTTACTCTGGCAAACCAACAGTAGATTAGATCCTGTCATGAAGATGCAGTCAGCAGAGCAGGATTGACAAAGATCTGATGGGATCCCATTCTCACAATGGGATCGTTTAAACATTTCTTAATTGGCAACCTAATTGCTATTGAATGGCAGTAGCACAGTGTATCAAAGAGATTGCAATCCTGTATTTTTCCATTTTGGTGTTTAAGTAAAAATACTAAAATGGGTTGCATCATTTCATAATCCTCTCAAAAACACAAGGTACAAATCTCAGAGTATTTAATCAGCTAAAATGTCACTCAGTAGCCAGCAAAAGGAATTTTTTAATCTTACAGACTTCCGCAACTCTGGTGAACTTTTATCTTCACAGATCTCCTTACAGCCTCAAACAATCTTCAAAGCATGATTGACAGGRATTTCTTTCTCAATTTTTCACAGAATCCACAGATTTATTATAGCAAGTTCTGCTGTTGATGATGAGGGTGAATATATGTTTGTACCAGATGCCTATAATATTAATATTCCATGCAAAGTACATGTTGTAGGTAAGTATATGCACAGMAATTGTAACATTTTCTTTGTCATGTGGAAAGTAAAATCAGTGAAATATCCTTGCTTTCAATCTGTCTGTTTCTTCAGTGCCTGTCACATTGAACAGGTCTGTTCCTTGCAAATAAGTGCAAGTGAGATGAGTAGAAAGTGTTTTGCTTGAGTATAGGAACTGGTTTSCAAGCCTATTCCTAAACTTCCCAGAGAATGCTTCTTGAGGATGAATTCTTAAACATAAACCAGTATTAAGAGTTTGTAAAAAATATCTGTGGGTCTCCTCTTTTCAGAAACAGTGTCGCCTTCTTTGAAGAGTTGGCTTGATGACATTTCCGAAAGGGAACTTAATTTAGTAAAGAAGTAGTCAAGTAACTACATGTTGTCGTGTACACCAAATACATTAGATAATAATTACATGGTTAAATATATCTGACCAACTTTTATTTAATTAGCAAAAGAGAATGTTTTCTTTTATTTTTCTTTTTTTCTTTTATGCATCCAGTCATTCAAACAAAAACAAAACAAGACATTRACTTTGCACACAGCTATACTCCATTGGCTAAAGTCAATCTTTGAATCCAGCCACTCAATTTTAGAATTTTGCTGTCTAAAGAGGAATAATATAGATGGCCAAAGGGTTAAGTAATATGGCCTACAACTGAAGCTGAAAGAAGTGTTTTATCCATGTTGGAAATAATAATGATCAGGGTGAGAGGGTATGGAGAAGAAGGAACCAGAGTATTGGAACATAATGGAGGAATAAGCTCACAGATATAATGTTCCAATCGTGAAAAAAAAAAAAAAAAAAAAAGGATGATAGTCATCAATTGTTCTCCATATCCATGGAGAACAAGATGTGATCATTGCATTTTCAGAAAAAAGATCTGGATTAAAAACATTTTAAATTATGTGAATAGTGATGGCGAGAATGTGATACCTCCAGATATCATAGAATATCTCCACTGGAATCTGCTTARAGGAAATCTAAATATATGTAATTCTGCCTCAGAAAAAAAAAAAAAAAGATGGATTCTTTTTCTTTTGTGGGCCTACCAGACCAAAATTATGTGGCACTCTGATTCATTTTTCATCAAACAAATATTTTCAACTTATGTTTGCAAATTTTCTTCCAGACAAAAGAACAGTTGACTAAAAATACTCTGAAAATCCAAAGACTTGGAAAAACTTATTTCTTTATGTTACAGACCTGTTTGTGGGTCTCTGAACTCTCACAGTGGTAGCCCCATGACACATGTGATAATCTCTCCATTTTCAGATCCTCCTAAACTACACCTAGATGGTCTGGGGGAAAATAATACTGTGACAGTAGTGGCAGGAAGCAAACTACGACTTGAGATCCCTATCACTGGCGAGCCAACACCAAAAGTCATGTGGAGTAAAGGGGACAAGGTACATTGTTACTGTCTGCATGTTTCCTTAGTTTGACGAGGGGACTTTTCAAAAAATAGTTATTGACCCGGTGGAGCCATTGATTTTAACGGCAACATATAACAAGGAGATATATTTTATCTCAAAAGTTCCATCAGTCAAAAATGAAGGGTAAAATTGATATGTATCATTTACTKTCTCAGGTATTTTTGAGGGAAGATTGAAAATATGAAGGAAAAAATGATTGGCTTTAAATAAATTGTTAAGGAAAGAGATGTCTGAGGTGCAGCAGAAACCTACTGACAATCTACCAAATAGCTACTTACTGTGCACATACTGCACAGAAGGGCTTCTACAAAAAGCTATAGCATGTYCTGGTTTGGAGGAATGGATAATTAAGAGAGAAGATTAAGTCTGGGATGAAACAACAGGCCAGGCACGCATCTTCTAGTCTCTTATCGCTAACCTTCACACAGACCAATCTCTTATCTGTATAACAATACCAAAATTCAGACTTCTCATCCTTAAATTTTCAGTGTGCCATGTGGAATTTGGAAGACACTGTTCTTGTGCAATTCATCAACTCCAAACTGTGACTAGTGTTTTTCAAAAATTAACAGTAGTAGCTTGTCCAAATTGGGAATTGTGGGCTTGTCCAAATTGGGAATTATTCTAAGAGAGCTTTTACTACAAAATAAATGTCATAATTTGAAATCAGTCAAGGCAAGCTACTGACCTTTACAATCACTCTAGCCTGTAAATAAATGACATTTCAATCTGGAAGGCTCTTTGGAGAATCTAGGACTCTCAGAGAAAGCTGGAAAAAAATATTGAGTGAATTAAGAACAGATACTGTTGATTAAAGTATGTTTTGATTTATCATATAATAATACAGCCATATAGTGTCTCTTCCTTTCAGATATAATGGAGTAATAGAGTGTTAAACAATTGAAGTATCTTAAAGTTATTTACTCAGTCCCTCAGTTCTTTTGTCATTTTTATCAGGATCAAGTGCTTGAAAGTCTCACTTTTCAGGTGGTTTATCTTAAAGTTGCTTCATTCATTTTGCAAAAGTGTCCTGTATTGCATCTGGATTTAAATCTTTGTCTATTTTGATTCCTAAATCAAGAATGATGACTTTTCCCTCTAATTACTTTGATTCCTAGTGGATCACAGACAGTGGAAGAATACGGGCAGAAACATATCCAGATAGCAGCTGTCTGGTTATTGATACAGCAGAAAGGGAAGATTCAGGTCCTTTCAGAATAACATTGAAGAATGAGGCTGGAGAGGACACAGCTCTAATCAACATCAAAGTGGTTGGTAAGTCATGTGGGACAGTGCACTGAGGGGATGTCTTTCATCACAGCTGTTTTCAATGAATGTTCTGTAAAAGATATGCTTTTTTCTATACTCAAACTAGGGCCAAATTCCTTTTCCTACAGCTGAAGGGTCTCTTCTGTATCCTCCCTAGATACATAACTGTTGTAGGCTCTTACAAACCTTCCAGTTCCATGGTTTTCCCCATTTTCAGATGTGGGATTGAGATGCAAAAGATTGTAAGACCCAGAACTACTGTTGGACACTTAGACTGGGATTTAAGCAGGAGTTCATTACCACCTTGCTGCTGCCTTATGCTGCAGGTGCCAGGATTTTGTGCTTGCCCCAAGCTGATGCTGACATTCTCCAGGTGGCTCTGGGCCATGTCTTAGCTCATACCCTTAAGCACCTCCCAAGTGTCCTGATTGTGCTCAAGAGCTTGGCAGTCATCCCTTACCTCCTCCCAGAATCTACAAAGACCTTCTTTCTCTCCCTCTCTCTCCATCAGCAACTGCAAGATCATGTCTACCAAATCAGTATCCATATGTAATAACACAAGACCTGCTTACTTTAAAAAACAAATTTTCAGCTGCTGCTAACAATTCCACTGCACAGAATCTTATTGGTCAAAGGACATATTCTAGATGGGCAAATCAAAGTTCAATTTCTTTCTCACTCTGAAGGGCTACCTGCCCTGAAATTGCCCTAAATATTCAGCTAAAGAGCTCAGCAGTCTTATCACTGAAAACAACAGCTATGCAAAGAAGAATTTGAAATGCACTGAAAGAGACAGTATGAAGCAGGAGAATCATCTGCAGCCTAAGCTCTCTGTTTTAGGGAACTAGGCACAATGAGTTCTGTGTAGAAGGRGGAGTTTTCTGCATTATTAAGATGSTTATTCCAGAAAATAGTAATTAGTAATATAAAGATTGTGACCTTTTCCTCTTGTTTCTCCACTAGTTAGCCTATATTGTTCCTTGTTCAGCCTTTGCATGATCTATTCTAGCATATGTAATGCCCTTTATGCATTACAGAGAAAGCCTCCACTGTTTTAGGATCACAGGCTTTTGATGGGAGCTATATATATATGTTGGTAAAATGATGGATATGACACCAAAAAAACTTTTAATACCCATGGCTCTGTGTAAAATTGTGCCTTAGTTATTCACAAAATGCAACAGTGGAAGGACCACCAAAGCACATCTCAAATCTTAGACCCTGAACTGTATGCTGGAAAATCTTTTGTGCCTAGGAATAACTTGGTACAAAAAAGTTATGTTCACAGCGGCCATGCCTTTAACTTACTAACCTCAATATAGTAGCTTACATTTTAGCGAAAAGTTTTTCCTCCCTGATATTCCTTCTTGTCTACGTACTTGGCATCCAGTCATTCATATTCACTCTTTCTTGTCATCATAAGGGTATTTTTGTGCCTGATCCTACATTTTATATTCCGAAGTAGCCTGTTGCAGTTAAAATTTATTCATATTTCTTTCATTATTGACATTTTTATTTCAGCTTAGCRAAAAAAATTAGAAAGACTCACTCTTTTTGTATTTCTTTTATTGACAATAGATGTCCCTGATCCTCCTCAGGCACCAAATGTTACTGAGGTGGGTGAAGACTGGTGTGTTATGACCTGGGAACCTCCAGCAAATGATGGCGGATCACCTATCTTAGGTAGATGATTTTTTTTTCTTTTTTTTTGAGGTGATACTCTATCTAATACAGAAAAAAAAGAAACAAGCTCAAAATAATGGAACCTATGCTATCAAAATTTGGCTCTGGGGAATTCCAGTCTGAGTAGTCCATTGTAAGTGTTATTTCTGATCACAGATATTATCAGCTATCTTTTTTTTGATGCTTTGAGATTTGTAATTTTGCATGTTGCTGCAGTATCATTCTCGCCAAGGGATGGAGTTTGAAAGATAATCTGTGTGTTATTATAATACCAAATTTTGGCCAGTCACTCATTTTGAATTTTAGCAGGGTTTTGGGAAACAATGTACTGAGCTGATAAATATATTCCTATACACTAAACAAAGAGTAAAGTCAGCGTGGCTAAGTATCTGGTAGAATCAGGCCCTTTTTCATTCTGATCTAAACACAGCAGTTTTGTAAGTCAAGTCTGACAAAGGTTTTTTTTTTTTTTTTTTTTTTTTTTTTTTTTTTTTGGTTTGTTTTGGTCAATAGGATATTTCATTGAAAGGAAAAAGAAACAAAGCTCTAGGTGGATGAGGCTGAATTTTGAGCTATGTAAAGAAACGACTTTTGAGCCAAAGAAGATGATTGAAGGTGTTGCTTACGAGGTCCGCGTATTTGCTGTTAATGCAATAGGAATTTCCAAACCAAGTATGCCTTCAAAGTCCTTTGTTCCTTTAGGTAAGTAAATAGGAATACAGAGTAGCCATGCATTCAGAAAATTCTTTTTGATATATTATTCCATCTTTTAGATTTAATAACTGTAGTTCTTAAAATTGTAATATCCTGGACCTGAACTTAGGAGGTGCTTATCAATTACTTATCTATCTCTGAAGARTTTTCATGCTGCATGTTACAAAAATGAGACATTTTTCAAGTTTCATTACTTATGCATTTTTGTTACATAGTGCCAYGCAAAAATAGAGCACATATTCACAAATAATACATACATTTCTATTCAAATAAGCAAGCATACAATTTATTATAAATATATAAAATGTGTCAAAATTAAGTGAATTTATCTGTTATTGCATAAGTCATATGATAAGATATATCTGAATAACACCTAATTTTAATCTATGCTTCAATGACCCACCCCTAGTTAAAGAACCCCTGTTTTTTTGGGACTGTTTTTGAGAGATGCAGGGAGGGTCATTTTTGTTTTTCCAGAAAGGGATCACATATTTTTACAGCATCTACAGCATCCTTTTTTTTTTTTTTTTTTTTTTTTTAAGATATTCTAAACCAGGCTGGGCCATTTTAAAATCTTTTTACATGCCCTGTTATTATTTGTGCTTTAAATTAATTTAACAACTGAGGTGTAGGGTTGGCCTAATGACAACAATGAACTGAGGTTCTTGTTGGCCTAATGACAGAGTAATCTGAAGAGTTTCCCATATGAAGAAACAGATTTTTCAAACTCCTGTGACAAGGACAGGTCCCTGTAAAGAAATGGTGCCTTCCTCTATAGGGTGATAAAAGCTTCTGCCATGCTCAGCGTGCCCCCATGATACAGAAAGGAGGAGCAGAAAGGAGAAGACTTTACCACTAGAGTGTGTTCTCCTCTTGTGAGAAAATATAYGTGGTTGTAGAGTACAGAAGGCAGATCTTTTCTGCTATAGCTTTCACTGCTCTTCACCCTTCCCCAGCAGCAAGAGCCTGGCTCTCTGGGTTAGGCTGTTGACAAGTACTGAGTGAAGTACCTCTAATACACCATAAATGCAAAATAATAGTGCAGTTTTCTACCTTGTTCTCCCCATCTGCTTGTTTCAGCTGTTACCAGTCCACCAACTCTCCTGGCAGTCGATGGAGTGACTGATACCTCCGTTACAATGAAATGGAGGCCCCCGGACCACATCGGAGCAGCAGGTTTAGATGGCTATGTTATAGAATACTGCTTTGAAGGAAGTAAGTGACGGTAACTGTGCTCTATTACTAGTAGAGAAAATAGGTGAGACTTCCTCCATTTTTTTTTTCCTATGGATGTCAGGTGCTTTAAGGCTAAAATTCAGTAGTCAAAAACCTCAAACTTAAGGATTTTGTTCAGTCATTCATTTAGTTTGCCCTCCAGATCCCTCCTGTTACTGTAATTTGACCTCTCTTACATTTGGTTTGAATTCTAAAGAAAAGAAAATCTATTGTAGTGTTTTTGTAGTGTACCAAGTACTGCGTTCTTCATTTTCCTGTTTAGCAAAAGTTGGGTGCACTAAAGAGGGTAAATCAATGGCTAGATAATAGATGGATGAATGGATAGATGGGTAGATGAATAGAAGGGAAATATCAAATGATACAAATTATGTGCAGGCTGGCTCTTTTTTTAGAGTCAGGAGGTCCTTTTGTGTGGTAATGCCTAGTTTGTCCTATTACTAACTGTCCGCTTCAAATGACAGTTCACAATACAGAGGTCCAACAGCCTCCCCAGTAGATGGCTGTAGACATCTTCTAGGCAAGCAAACTCATGTCTGGATATTGGATTTCAGGGGAGTTATGTTCAGGATATTTACATCCATCTCAGACATAAAACTATATGAGATTAAAAAAAGCTTAAAGATACAAGTGACAGAATAAACTCACCAGAGAAAACATTAAGTCATAGAAAACATATACTGTACAACCAGGAGGTTTGGTGATCAAACAGCAGAAACTCAGTATTTCCTAACAGATTTTCTTCTGACTTGGCATCAAATGAAGTCTGTTTTCAAAAAATAATATCTAACAGCACTTGGGTAAGTATGAAATACAATGATGTGGCATATCCACTATCCAGCCACTATGGCCAAATGCTGATCGGAAGGATTGTAGAAGCACTGTTTGGAAGAAGGGAGCATACTTTTGTTCAGCTCAAGCAGCTGCTGATCTTAACACTGTTGTTAATCTAAGTGATTAACACTCAGTGCTAATCTAAGTAATGTAAGTGATGCGTTGGGTATATTTTACATCAGGGCATTTATTTCATTTAAAGCTTTTTACAAATGTGGTTCACAGTCTGGAGACAAGAAGTAGAGGACAGAACTGTGGTCAGATATCACAGGAGCAATGTACCCTCATCTCTTACTTGGGTGAGTGGAGCCTGAGTTCCCTCTTGGATGAGAGGGAGAGAAGAAGAACCACCACCTTTTCTCAGGAGCAATCAGCATCTTGTAGTTGAATATCTGTAAAGAACAGGAACAGTCTGCAAGAAGCTCAGAGGTCTGGAGAAGATTACCTGAAGGCAGATACAGCAGAAATGGTAGGAAGGGTTTTCCTTGTATGCCGGGAGGAAGCACTGGGAACATCTCAGGAAGAGAAAGCATGCTGTTTCAGATTAATATGCAGCAACTGTAGGTGACATATATTTTTTCTATTTCCACTGTGTAGATATGTACTAGCTACAGAGGTGACTGACAATATGAGAACTGCATATTATGTTGTTGGCAGTTAGTAGGATGGTTGGGATTTTCTTTTGGAAAAAAGAATTTCCACATTACAGTCACAAATCCATTGACATTAGGCTATGTGATTCCCTGCCAAATAAGGCAATAAGAAGGGAAATATATTTAGGCTAACAGAAACTATATTACTCAAAGAAATTTTCCAAAACTTCCTTTTAAGTTCTATCAGTCAAAAAATCATTGTATACCTATTGAATGGAACAAATTCTTTACTTTTTTTTTCCAGATAGGTTTAAAACATATGAAGATACAACAAAATGGCAGCCAGGCCTGTCATTTTATTGTTACCCACCTCGGTTAAAATACAATGGATACAGTGTATTTTACATAGCTTTTTGAGTGTTTATGTATATCTATATATGCCTCTCATATATGCATATACATCTATATATACACAATAAACATTAGTTATGTATATATGTTATGAAAATGTTTAGGAAGAAACAAGTTGAAAATATCAATTAAAAAATGTAACTTACTGTAGATCTTTATGCTCAGTTCTGTTTTTTTCTTTCTTCCAATATCTCAGTCCTCCTCACTTTTTCTAGTGCCTGCTTTGCCTCAGACTAATTTTTTTATGTTTAATAATTCTTTTTTTTTTCAATTCCTAGGTAATTTTAATGATTATCTATGTTCATTCTGCTTCTCTTTTCTTTATAGTTCTGTGCCTATAAACCCATTTGTCTTTACTGTTCTTTCGTTTTCATCACTGAGGTTGTTTTGGAGAGGGTTTTTGAGTCTTCTCTGTCATATCAATCCTTAGGAAAAATCACAAGCTGGATATGGCATTTAGAGGATGTCATTAGAAGATATTGTAACTTAGAAGAGTCATGTTTGAGGAATATTGGTTTTCTTCCTCAAAAAATTTTATTCTGAATCTCATAACATGATCTCCACAAAGGACCCTTGGACTTCCTTAGATACAGTAATATCCCTAAGAGCTCTATGGGTATGTTGCAAAACTGGGGTTTCATCATGAGTATCTAAAAATGACATTGCATAGGCATGACTAGCATCAGAAATGTGAATATATTCCCCTTCCCAGGGCCTGTTCAGAACATCCAGCTTGAGTCTCTTGCTGCAGTGGTGATTCAGATTAGTGCAAACCTTGCTGACACTGGAAAAGTAGTAGTAAATTAATAATTCTTTGTAATGTACACTTCTGACTGGTTCTTGTGTGGCATTTCAAGGGAAATCTGATGCACTCTGGTTTTTCCTATGAGATTATTTGCCATTCTACCTGCAGAGGATCTGATTTCATAGCTAGTAAAGGGGCAATTTAGAGAGTGTTTTGGGTTTTTCTGTTTTTTTTTTTTTTTTTTTTTTGGTCTGAGATCCTTGATAGTATCCATAAACTATCCATAAAGTATCCATAAAATATGGATAGTATTTTTACTATCCTGAAAATTGCCAAATCCAGGATTCCAAGGAATCCAGGGCAGTGATAACCTTGGCCAAGAGATAAAGCCTTTGTGATTACATCATGTCTACTCTTATTCATGGTTTCTGTCTTAATTTTCATTCTCTGATCTCTTTAGCTATATATGTATTCTATTCCTCTGTCTCCTTGGCTATTTTTCAAGCCTTCTCTTTTTCTGTCTCTCTTGCTCAAAATTCTTCTGAGTTTCTTCTTCCTTTACAATGTTTTGTTCTCCCCTTACAGTTTCTCTTATCATCATTTTTGCGTCATTCCTCTGTCTTCCAAATGCTCCTTTTGTTCATCTTTCCAGGACTATCATTGTTCAGACAAAACAAAACCAAACCATCTTCACCCGCTTTCTCTTTCCTGTCTCTTTGATCTAGATGCCCCCTTCCTGCCTCTTTCTTTCCTGCAAACTCTCTAAATACAGGTCTTCTAAATCTTTAAAGCCTAGCAGTGATCTTTGCAGTCTTACTAACAGGAAATGCTAACTCCTGACAAAATGCTCCATCTGTGTGAAAGTGGGTGTCTCTGATTAATCTTAATGATGGATTCTCACAAGGTTTATCGACAGATCTGGTTGATGAAATGGTGGAACCACCTTATAACAAAGCAGGTACGGTATTCAACAGAATATATAAAGCTTCCTTAAGGAAGGGGGCCTCTCTTTAAAATAGATTTCTGAGAGTATGATTGATTTCTAGGGGCACCATGTACAGAATTTACTGCAATGCATGGGAGGGGAGTGGGAAGGGATTTGACTGCAACTGGCTTGTGTTAAAAATGGAAAGCAGCAGCTTTAAAGAAAAGTTAAATCCTAAAAAATAATATGTACACTTATGAATATGTACCACAGAATGATGCACTAAGTCTCCAGACTGCTCTAGCTTTTGGATGGTGCTCTTGTCTTTTATGCCAATGTTACAATGCTATTTTTATAAGACACAGAAGGTATTGATACTTACTGACTTACTGCTATATAAAGCTAACTCCAAATGTCAAGGTGTCAGCAGTGTTAAAGTCATCTGCGCTTGGTGGATGGGATGGGAAAGAAAGTATCATTTGTAATTAGAGCTTTTCTGAATGTCCTGTTTCAGTGCCTCTATGGATTTTATGTAAGCAGTAGGATTAAAAAAAAAAATAGAGAGGGCTGTAATTATGTGAATGTTTATGATACAGCTTTCCTTTTCTAAAGGCACCAGGAGAGATGACCTGTTGGGGAACTTTGTAATTACTGTGTGCTTCTCTCATCTCTGCACTTGGAGGGTATTTTCAAGGGGCTCAGCACTGGTCTAACTGTGATATTATTGAAAAGAATTCTAAAACCCATCGCTTCCCAAGGAAGCTGTTAAAGCAATGCTGAATGCTTTTGAAAATATACTCTATGTCCCCATCTTCCTTGCTTTTGATCAACTGACTTTAAAGCCCTATGAGATTTCTCTCATGTAAAACTGAAAAGTAGCCATATTCTAAAAACATTATTTATGTAAGTATAAACATATAATTGGCTGAAATCCATTACAGTTAGAAGTGTATTTCCCTTGCATGCTTAAAGTGAATCTCTATCATGTTATACCTTAATTAAAAAACAAAATAAATGAATTCTTCAGTGTATTTTCAGTTTGGTTTTGGTAATATTCATAATTCCCTGTTCCTTTGCTTCTCCCTCTCATCTTCTTTTCCCTAAACTAGCGGATGAATGGATTGTGGCTAACCCAGAACTGACAGACAAAACGAAGTTTACTATCAATGGCCTGCCGACTGGCTCAAAAATCCTCGTGAGAGTGAAAGCTGTGAATGCTGCTGGTGAAAGTGAGCCGAGGTACCACCCACAGCCCATTTTAGTCAAGGAAGTGATAGGTAAGAGCCTCCCACGCAAAAATATTCTGCTTCCATGCTTAGGTATGATATGCCCATGCGAAGATATTTTGCAGTGCCTAGAAATCTTTTTATTTCTTTCATTTCTGTGACTTCACTTCTCAAGTGAAGTTGGAGATCTTTCATCACTGCTCAGGTTTTGAAAAAGTTTTATTGCCGCAGAACTAGAACTTGATTTTGCCTTTGTTAAACAGAGCTAAGATTTTCACTCCTTCTTAACACCCTAACATTTGGGATTACAAACACTGACAAGGTACTGAATGTAACATTGTGGAACTCAGGAATACTTAAGATACGTCATTCACTAGTAATTTCTAGGAACTGTAGACCACACATTTTGATGCTATCAATGATCAGCACCAGTATTGCCCCCACTTATAAAAGAAGATAAATGTAAAATATGAGCTTTATTTTTTCCTTTCTTTTAGAACCTCCAAAGATCCGTCTACCAAGACACTTAAAACAAACCTACACTCGAAGAGTTGGAGAAACTGTGAATCTCGTTATTCCTTTCCAGGTAAGAGCTAAAAACACAGAAAAATGCAAGGTCAATAACCTCTGCAAGGTTAATAAAAACTTTTAGAAAGTTTGTTCATCAATACACAAGATACACTGCTTCTAAGAAGTTAAAACAGTATTTGTGGTTATTTTCTAAGCTAAGACGCTCAAAAAACGGGTAAGGTTACTCTATTTGGACAGCACGTGTTTATTGCTTGTCTCCAAAGAGGCACAAATCACATGGGAATGATAGTGGCATTCAATCTTGTCTTATTTAAATAGCTAAATTGGGCACTTCCCTACCCAAATAAAAGGCATCTCTCTGTGCCGTTTTAGCCTGAATTTGCAAATATTTTTCAGCTTGCTTCTTAAAAAATACTGGTGTAGGTGAATTAATGGAATTGCCTCTTAAAAGCTGCATGACTTTCAAAGATGTCACACTGTTTATTTCAGGATGGTTTTGATTTCCCCTTTAAGACTAATACCAATATCACTCCCAGAATCATTTATCAATTGTTTTCTGACTTCTTACAGGGAAAACCAAGGGCAAAAGTATCATGGAAGAAAAACGGTGCTCCAGTAGACAAGAACCAAATCAACATCCGCAACACTGAAAATGACACTATCATCTTTATCCGAAAGGCAGAAAGGAGCCATTCTGGACAATATAACATGAAAGTGAAAGTAGAGAACCTGGAGGACAAAGCTACGATAGATATTCAAATTGTGGGTATGTTCTGAATAACTGAAATAAATGTATGCCAGAGAAGCCTACTGTAGTCAAGGGAATACAGACGTATGCCAGGGAGAGCATCTTTCCCTACAGTGATTACTCTCCACATCAGATTATCTGACTAAAGATTTGTGGTTTCTAAATAAACCTCCCTAGACAATGGCAGGCGCTCATCAGAAAATGCCAGTACTCCTTCAGCACTTCATTGTTTTGCTCTTCATGTTCTTGCTTATCCAGGATGGATGCTTTTTCCTGTTGATTGGTAGCAATGGCCAGAAGTAGTAGTAAGTTTCTCCCCAGTGTAATGTGGAAAGACCCTACATGTTAAAAGAATGTGAAAGAAGGAAAGAAAGACAAGAAAGCACATTTACTTTTCTATCAATCTATTTTTTCCCACAATGTGGAAAACTGATACACTGGCTTTAAAATGATTGACTGTTTCTATTTTAAGAACATATTTTCAGTTGCTTAAAATTTTCCCCAAATCACATCCTTATTCAGTTAAATATCATATCCTAGTTCATACCCACAAAGTGGTCAAGTTATATTTTTCATAGTTTTTACATTCCTTAATTTTATTCTCTTTTATTTTGCTGCTTGGCAGTCATTTGACATTGGATTTGTCGTGTGTCTGTCAATGCAAACACAATGAAAACTGCCATGTCAGCTGCCATGTTTTCATTACAGACCGACCAGGCCCACCAGAGGTGGTCATGATTGAGGATGTCTGGGGAGAAAACGTAAATTTATCATGGAAGCCACCAAAAGATGATGGCAATGCTGCCATTACTGGATACACTATTCAAAAAGCAGACAAGAAGAGTATGGTAAGTAATAAGCAGATTTTTAAAAGGCTGATGTAATTATGGACTTCTTCCTTTTAATTACGGAAATCCTTACTTGCTTAAGGGAGTGTAGATGGACAAATCATTGATTGGTCAATGTTTGGAAAATGTTTGGAAAATTTTAAAATCTCCTGCTAATTGTATCTGAAATTTAGAAATGGAAATGTTTTCAGATGATGTGAAAAGAAGAGGAGTAACAGGGAAGGACACGTGTGCTTGAGGAAAGGAATTATGCCTTTTTCCTTCTTCTCAATATGGAGAATTAAAATTGGGAATAAAAAAAATGAAGGCAGCAGGTTGCTACTAGAATCCAAATGAAGTGCTATTGCTTTTAGCAACGTTGCTGGGTATGGGGATGATACATATGTAATTTACAAAATGCTCTGAGATAATCAGGTCAAATCCACACTAATTGGTTCAGAGAGGGGCCAAGAGATTGCCTGTTCCTGTCTTCTAATTGCTTTGATCACAGAGTAATATGCACTGCCTGAATTTCCAGAGTTGCTTATACCAAGCCCATAGTACCTTGTATTTGCAAACCGTTTCTCAAATTGTGATCATGTAAGATTTGTTAATACTCCTCTCTACTAGCGTCCTTCCAGGAAAAAAAAAAAAAAAAATATCTGGATGGCTTTTATACTGTTCTCCAATTGAGCTGTCTGTTATTGTTGCAGGCTGAGCTCTAAACCCACCTCCCCATCCCAGCCTTTGGATTTGGCTTTCAGTCTGGAGGAATCACCTGGATAAAGTTACATTTCTCATAAACACTCAGCTTGTGGAAGAGGAGGCAGATTAGTGCACTGGCCTTCTGTAGTACACATTACTGTAAAGGGGTTTATCTGCAGCAATGCCCTCTGCCAAGAGAGCGGAGTGGGAATGAGGGGGCCGGCCTGCCTTGCACAATGCAACCTTTATAATTTCGGATGTGCAGGGAAGATCTCTCCCACCTAACAGAGTGTGACAGCTCAGCAGGGTTCACTTTCTGTTCAGCCTGCAGTGCTCAGCTGCGAGCTATGTGTGATGCTATCACCCAGCTCAGAGGCAACAATTAATTACTGTTAGATTCACTACGCTGGGAATCGTTAACATACCCACAGATAAATCTCTTAGTCGCCAGGCTTGATGATCCTTCCAGGCATTACCGGACGGGCTCTGCGGTGCCGTGCAGGAGAGGAGGCTCAGTCTGTGTGTGTGTGTGTGTTTCAGGAGTGGTTCACCGTCATCGAGCACTACCACCGCACCAGCGCCACCATCAACGAGCTCGTCATAGGAAACGAGTACTACTTCCGTATCTTCRCGGAGAACATGTGCGGCCTCAGTGAGGATGCCACGATGACCAAAGAGAGCGCTCTGATCGCAAAGGATGGTTAGTGAACTAGTGATTCCTTATCCATCGGGAAGGGGTTGGTTTGGAGTAAGGAAGGTGATGAGAACTAAAGGCCATGTCTATAAGCATTCACGCCTATCCCAAAGATCAGGTGCAATGAACAGCTAGTGAGTCATTGTATTATTCTTGGTAGGACATTTCAAATTAGGACTCTACATTTTTAGCTTGTCCAGTTGGTCCATAATTTCTTTTCATGAGTGGGACACTTTTCTCATGTCCCAACACTTTCTGTGATCTTGGATCTCATACTCCTGTCACCAATAGCTGATCTAAGTGGGCAAGAGCTGAAGGAGGCGTTAAAAAGCTGTCTGTTAAAAGCAGTAGGTTACTGCCTCCCAGTGGAGACCCAGTATCAGCTGTGCAAGTGCTTCCAGCCCATTCCAGGGCAGGATCCAAGACAAAAGCTTCCACAATTTGGAGGACAGACAACATATATAAATCATTCAGACCGGGATCTCCTTTCCCAGAGCAGAAAATGGAGTAGTCCTGGGAACAACAAATAAAGAAAAGTTTCCAGACTCCCTGATATGTGATGGGGAGTCAGGCAACCCTAAAATTAAATTCTCAAGGTTTTGGGGCTTCTAGCACCGGAATGTTGGAGTTTAAGGGACTTTCTGGGTCCAGTCTCCACAGTGGGCAAAAAGGTAGCCCTAAGCTATCTAGTATGGAAACATTTAACATTGCAAGAATGTCCTTGACTCAAAGTCTTGGGAAAAAAAAACATTCCCACACAACCCACTAGATAAGCTGTCGCACAATTGGAAATAATCCCTCTTTCATCAAACATGCTTTGAAATCACAACAGTCTGACAAATTAGTACTTTGCACTAGCAAGTTGCTTCAGATAAAAACTCCTGCCTAGTTCTACATGCAAACATTGTGGACTATGAAGACAATCAGCCTAAGTTCAGGGGCACAGATGGCAATTCCAGTGTATATTGGTCTTAGACGGCTCTTCTTTTCATCATCATGATCAAAATGTGATGAGTCCACATTAAAAGCTGCAGAACAGGAGGTACTAGTACCAGAACCCATTTTTACTAATTAAAAAAAAAAAAAGAGAGAGAAATCAAAAACTATTAGAAAAGGGCTCATGAGCAGAATACGGGCTATAGAAGTTGCTCTTCATCACTTATTTCTCCTGTCATGCTAGCAAGTATTAGGCCTAAGTTTGCATTGGGATCAATATGGGAGCTTGGATCAGGTTTCAGTGAAGCACAAAACTTTCAGGCTACCTGTACACAAGAACTGCACAAATGCAATTACCACTCATGTTGGTACATAAAGCAGTGCAGATCAGAACAGGTTCAGGCTCTTTGTACCTTTATAAGATGCTGAAATATTCAGCTACATTATACCACGTCTTTAAAATGTTGCATTTTCATTTCATAGGCAAAGTCTACAAATACCCAGTTTACGATGATTTTGATTTCAGCGAGCGACCCATGTTTACGCAGCCCTTAGTGAACACGTTTGCCGTAGCCGGCTACAATGCTACTTTGAATTGCAGCGTCCGGGGCAATCCCAAGGTATGGCACTTCTCTTCACAGAATCAATTGCACCACAAGAGAATTTAATCTGACAATAAAAATTGTAATGCTGTTTTAATCATTCATCCCATTCATAAGCCAGGCTGAAGGAGAAAGCATGGCAAAGGCTCTAAAGAACACAGGGCAGGAGTTGAACAAGTTCCTCAAGCAATCTTCCTAGCTCTGCTCTACTGCACAACCCATCTCCTTCTGCCCCTACTTTACCTAATTCTGGTATAGGGATTGTAAGAGTTATTAATCTACAGATAACCTAGTGAAAGGACAGGACCTCAGCAAATGACTGGGCTATACTGGGCCCAGCTATATGGCTATATGTCAGAAAAGATGGTTGCTAAAATAATCCTATAATWATTCTATAAAAATCAAATTATTGCTTAAGATAGTACATTGCAAAAACACAGGGGGACCACATAGGCTCTTAGACTGCAACAAATCTTCCAATTTCTTGTGAGTTATATCTCTGATCAATATTTTCCATTGCAAAAAAAAAAGAAATGAATTGACTTAATAAAATGAGAACTCAGAGGTTTTCCTTTAAGAACATGTTCATTGTTTATCAGGCACCTTCCCCGTTTCTGACAATTCTGTGTGCAAATTACTTTAAAAACACACTTTTCCTGATTAACTTGGAGGATTATTCAACTTTAAGAGAATATCACAAAAAGATCAAAAATATTTGAGGTCACAGCTCTGTGCGTGTGTTTTTGATTTTGTTCCTACCGCAGCCCAAAATAACCTGGATGAAAAACAAAGTGATTATAATGAATGACCCAAGATACCGAATGTTCAGTAACCAAGGTGTCTGCACCTTGGAGATCCGCAAGCCCAGTCCATATGATGGAGGCACTTACACCTGCCGAGCAGTCAATGAGCTTGGAGAGGCAGAAGTTGACTGCAAACTGGAAGTAAAAGGTAAGGACTCAAATCATTGCAAATGCTTTGTTTTCCTGAACGCCACCGAAGTTGGAGTCGAAAGTATGAAAGTCAAATGCAAAGGAAGATTAAAAAAAAACACCTCTAAAAACTTTCCCAGATGAAAATAATAATATGACTAGGATAAAATAAAATATACTGGTAGCTTTGTTATCTCTTTGAGGGCAAGCATGCTGTACTCTTCCCACCTCCCAATCCAAGCATTCATTGTTTGTACAGGCCTTTTTACAAATGAGACAATGATAGGCTATAACCCCTGAAGCTATACCWCTTAAATCCAGTGATACATATATRTATACATATATATAKAGAGATATAGATATACACATCACAAGTTCTAGTAAAACTCATTCATAGGGAACATGTCRTTGATACATTTAAAAAAAAAATCTTGGATGGGAGACACATCTCAGGAGATGTAAATGGAAGAAGGGGAGAGGAAGAGAACAGAAAGATTAGTTCAAGGTATATTTTGTCTGCTTCAAAATGGTGTATTAAATAAAACAAACACTTATCTCCAAGGAAATCCTCTTAATGCAGTTTTTTAGCAAAACCACATGAAGAAAAAAAGAGAGTACTTTTCCCAGACACAAGCTGTTGACAGAGTTGCTCTACTCTGTTCGCAGAGCCAAAAGCTGGTTGATAGAGTTGCTGTATTGGCTTTATTAACAAMGTGCTCAAAATTAAGAATTATGCAAATATAGGAAAAGAGGGAGAAGTTAAACATTTCAGCTGAAATCTTTATTTTCATTAATATTTTCATTTTATGAATTCCAAGTAGTTTAGCATTGGCTAGGATGTCATGAATGGCAATGTTGTGTGTTTAATATTCTTGTGAATTGTGTTCTCTTTGTTTTGGATTATGACTTGCATTTTCTGCTATTACTGATGTATTTTTCCTCACAGCTCAAATCTGCTAGCAAGGAAACACTGCAATACAAGGTCTAGAAAGTTGTGCACATAGCTTATGAAATATGTGTAATATCATGTTGCTTAATTGGCATCATTTGTTTTTAAGATGTGATGTTTAAATAATGACATCCTTGTCTCAAACGTATGATTTTTTTCCTTAATCTCAAACCAACTTTTTATTTCAGAGCATAACAGACAATGCCATTTCCTGAGAAGGTTGTTTCATTTGTCCTTTCTGTCAAAAGACCAAGTTTGCTATTTCATTGAATTTCCTAAATCACCAAGCGCTACAGCCCTTACCCTTACCCCACAGTGTAATCAACAGTGGAGGCTGGTCTATGCTATAGGTTCTGTGAGATGAGTTTAAGATTCAATTTCTTACAACTGGACATATTATGTACATATTATGTAGTGGTATCTGGAAAAACACTGGAAATGCTTAGATCCTTTTCCAGTCAATTATAAGTAATTTATTAAAATAAAACTTTATTGTTCTGCTCATTAAAGCAGCAGGTACTTTTGAGATGTTGAGATGAGGTACAACTTGAGAAGTTTGCTGACGTATTTATTAAACGAAGTACACAAGAAGCATCTAGGGAGAACAGCAGTAAGGACAGAGAAGAGCTAGAACAGGTTCTCTGCAGAGGTTGTAGAGCCCCTACAAGAGGTAGTGGAGCTACCAAGTACTTTTAAGGGCAGTTTRGTCAAATGCCAGACGTACAGTTTGTTAAGGTTAAATGATGCTTCCTAGGATTAAGGTTTTGGGCTGGGTGTCAAGGCCCTTCCTGGGACTCCCTGCTGCGGTGGGGAAGATTTAGCCAACACCTTAGTCTCCTTCCTAAGGAATGCTCAGACCAGCAATGCACAGGGTGCAGACACCATATAGCTGTTGCAGGGGTTGGTGCTGACAGTCTCCAAACAACTGTCATTTGATGAAATCAGGGAACAYAGCAGCTGCAGTGGCACAAACCAGGGCAGGTTCAAGGCTCGCTGTGCAGTATAAGCAAATTCAAACAACTATTGGGCCACTGGAGCAGTAAGAACAGAATTACACCTTATTTCACCCTTCTATCTGCTTATTTGCTGAACTATCATTCAAATTTCCAGCTTGTTTGTTCATATAGGAGGGCTGATCAGCTGAACTGCACATCATGTTTTCTGATTCACTGGGAAGGGACTGGAGTGTGCATTTGTGTGTATATGTGTGTGTGTTTATATGTATAGGTTAAACTAGTTCACCTTTACTCCAGCAAGGAACAATCAGGGTCTGAATCTGCAATACTGGCATCTGTTACCTTAAGTAAGACMAAGAGGATCAAGGCTATGCTGCATACCTGTTGAACCTATTGGCTGTGGTACTATTATTATAGATCTTTTAAGTTATGTTAAAAAACGCTATGCGATGCAAATGTATATATTGCAGTAAACTGAATTTCCTCAAGTTGTCTAGAATGTCTTTTATCTGTCTATTTGTGAGCTGTTGCAGATTGCAAGTTTGTCATGTGTGTATATATATATATGTACAGTCCTAGAAATGCCTAGGATCACAGAACTACTCAGAGAGCAGTCTAGGATTTCAGATTTTACATAGTGTTTGAACAACTGAGGAACTATGAATACTCAGGCCATGAATACTCTCACTGTGCTGCACTTTCCTACTCGCCTAGCCATTTGCTTACAGTATTTTAAGTATCATTTTAAATACCAGATCTAGATGTTACTGATTTAATTTAGTTAAAATTTAATTTCTGGAAAGATTTTAATGGCAACTATGAGCACAAAAACAAATGGTTCATTTTAAAATCCTTATTTTGTCCTCAAATATTGTGGGKTTTTTTTTGCATTTGCTACTGTTACTTCAGATAGAGAGAACTTTTTTCTTCTACTTTCAATTTTGCTAAGTGAACTTAAAAATGGAAGTTGCATTCTGCTCAGCCTAGCTGTATGTGCAATGGCTTTTTAAGAAATATGTGTGCTGAAAAATATCATCTTGCTATTTATAATTTATATAAGAGAATAGCTCTACCTCACAAATAACTTGAACAATGACACATACACAGAATCTCATATTCCTTACACTCATCTTAGTAAGGAAAATAAAAAATAGATATTTTTGTATTTTAAAGATTGTTGAGCTAGATCCATAAACATGGCTGTGAATCTCTTTCTATAAACGATAAGGAAAGGACTCATTAATTTAGCTAASGTCCATGAAAAGATACTGATAAAGCATTACACTTTTATTATCATGAAACAAGTGTTTTTGGAGAATGTTCAGCTGATGAGCAAAATCAAGATTAATAATCACTCTGACAGGCTGATGATAGCAAAGATGCTATATGAGTAATGTTGAAAAATAAGGTGTTGAAATGAACTGAGAAGAATTTCAAATGAGAATAAACACCACTGTAAATATTCTAATTCTGCAGTGATATATCACGGCGTAATTAACCCAGGAGAACCATGCTTCTTGGCGGGGAATAATCAGGTTTAAATAAGCATTACTCCACTGGACATTCCATTTCATTCCCTTCCTCTCTTTTCAAATAAAAATGTGTTTCCTGCATGCAAAGTGTGTATTTACTTGCTTTTTTTTTTTTAGATTAAACTAGCTAGAGGCTCATGGCATAGAATGTCTATGTCACATGAGCAAAGAAGGCCAAATTAATCAAGAATAAAGGAACTGAACTTCAGAGTTACAAAATATTTTGACATATTTCTGCTATGTCACTGKGTGTAGAACCACTTGTACATATAAAGAATTTATTTAATAACCGTAGCTATGTTTGACCAGAATACTGAAGTGTTTCAGGAGATAGATAGAAATTTGCATCTCAAAGGCTAAATGGTTTGTAAAAATTTCTGAAAGTAATTTATTGTACAGATGTATCATAATGTTTTTTGACATAAAAAGCATTCCTGATTATAGATTATATGATTAGCCTCTGATTCTTAATTAGTGCTCAAATTGTTAATCTATGCCTGCATTTACACTTCAAAAATCTAAGGATAAAATCTTGATTTATTTTTTTCTACTCTATATGCTTCTACAGGCGATTTTAAATTCAGTATCAGTGAATGTTACTGGCAGGGAATTTGTCTCTTTCTATACAAATGTCTTGCTTTTAACATTGCCTAACATTGCCCAAATCCAGTATATTGGCAGAGCAATTTTAAAATTATAGGAGATGCCCAAAAATTTGTCTCCAACATTTTATGCATTAAAATTGACTTTCCAACCTAAAATATCTTAGGCTAGATAATGTTCCTGTAGTATTTGAAGTTTTAAGGTACTTCTCCTAAGTGGCTACTTTAGTTACAAAGTCAAATGCTTTTYTATGTATATATATGTATGTATGTTCGGTAGAGTCAAATTGCCTAATGAAAGGGCTCCCATAGAGTAAAAGGCATGCTTTATGTAAATGTTGATGTGTGACAAGGTACATATTTTAGTGCATAGCTATGTAATTCATCTGTACTTGATTATTTTGCCTTAAAGAGTTTCAACATATATATATATGTTTCTGTGTTTTGTGTGTGCTTTTTTCCCCTGGTGGAAAACACCATATATATATATGTGTTAGCTTCTTTTGAAGCTACGTTTGGAAACTTTGTCAGGTACATAATTTGATTCCAGTCAATACTCTAGACTAATTACAGGAGTTACAGTTATTGAACATATTAATATAGCTTTACATATTACTGATAATTTTGAAGTGGAACTGGATCCCTACCTTTTACTCCTCATGTGCTTTTATTCCTACATATTTTACATGACTAAGGATTAAAACATCATCTTGCCATAATTGTAAACATAATTTTACTCAACATTTTCTCTCCACTTTTGTGTTTGTGATTCAATGGTTACTTCTCTTTCTCTCTTTCCCTTAGTTACACAATAAGGATTTTTGAATGTATATTGTCATCTAAGGTAAGCTTTCATATGATTCTTGCATATGAAGCTTATGTCTGTTTTCACGTCATACAAAGTTTGCCTAGTATGGCATGATTTTCATTATACTACTTAATGAAAATGTTTTTGGAATGAGATGCATGAAAGTTTTAATGCATATTAAAGCCAGCTTGATATAATAATTACTTGTTACAGTAGCACTGTTAGTAATATATGTTGTATTTTCTAATAGTGCACATGCTTCAGTGGATTTTAACACAGCATGAGTTATCTGATAATTCATTAATACGAATAAAATGCAAATAATGAAAGTGCATTCTTTACCTACAGACAGTTCTTTGCATATAGGTATATATCTCTACATAAATAAAAGGTTTATTCAACACTGAATTTCCTTTAAAAGGGAATATTTTTATCACAATTTGCACTTCATGAGTTGAAAAGAATGCTAAAAAGCATGCCTATTTTTTTTTGTCTGTATTGTGCATCCACCTAGAGCTGAGAGCAAACAGTTCTGAAACAACGACAGTGTTAAATGAGAGGCACAGTTACTTATAATCCCTAGTGACTAATAGCACTTTAACTGGATGATCCTTGTGTTAATAAAGGTTATAAATTCCTTAAATCTGTAATCAGAATAATTGCTGTATGCAAGATCAGCTCAGTTGCATTTAGCCGAAGCACTCAAAGGCAGTAGCATCTTCCTCTTCAAAAGGTACTTTTGCTTTAAAACCTTTGGTGTCCTCCGAACAAGGCTGAGAAGGTAAGTGCGGTTATTATGTGGTTTGCATCTTGCAGGATAGAATAAACACACAGACYTGTAAGAGGAACAGCAGTATGCAGCTTTCTTACCACGTATGCCACTTTTCCCCTTGAAAAAGGACAACCACTAATGTTTTTAGCAAAATATTTATCTTTTTTTCCACTGTTCATTCTGAATGCCAGCCAACTTCAGTGAAAATAACAGAAATACGCATGTATTTTCTTCTACAGAATTCCATGACATCTTTTTCAATGGCATGGAATTTCAGCTCTAATTTGGATTATTTATATTGAGTTACTAGTTGCATCGCACTAGGATCTAGTGGAGTCCCCACTGGTGTGTCAGACACTAAACATACRTATTTTGGAGGCTGGGACAGAAATTTTGCCTTGGATTGCCAACATTTTTAAAATCTCTGTAAAGATGTGTTTTGCCTCAGTTTTGACAGCAACAGCTAAAACATCAAGTACTTCCATTGGCTTTCTTCTAAGCATAGTCTGATGTTCTAGMACTGAGATTTAAAATATGTTTGCTTCATTTTTTACTCACTGGGGCAAAGCCAAAGCTCTAAAGGGCCTAAAAAGCTACGAATGTGCCTTCTGATAAAGCTCTGTAAGTGGTAACACCAACCACAAAACTGCAAGTGAAGAATTTCATTTTCACAGAGAAAGAGCTTTTACAGAGTAGGCACCTGCACATAAGGTATTTCATGTGATAGAGTTTTTATTCCAGAGTGAATTTAAAGTTGTTCTTCATTTCAAGTCTTCCCCAAGAAAAATACATATCTGTATTTCCATACTATTCTTATACATCTGTCATTCCAGTTACAAATTTCAAGCAATGGGATAAATATTTTGCTAAATACTTTTAAACTATTATAAAACCCAGCACTAGAATAATTTGAATGCCTCTGCATGCTCTCCACAACTCAACTTTACCCCTCAGTGTCAGATGTTTCCATTTTGGGCTGAATTCCACCTTCAACCACGCTCCTAAATGGAAACAGGAGGGCTACTTGCACTGAAGCTTATAGTCTATTGCATGGGAGGAGATAAAGGCCAGAAAAAGACTTGCGAGCAATCAAAGTTGTCCTGGGCAAGAGACAACTACAAGTCATCCACAGAGAGAGGAAAAAAAATGGTTATTTCTCATGCTGGCCATGTTTGAACAGGGATGTATTTTACCACATCCCAGAAGGAGGTATAGGATGGGGACTGACTAAAGCAGTCACTTAAGAGAGGGCAATAATGGTGCCAGCCGCCTGCGCCAGGGATCTTGGATCTGAACAACATCTTGTGCCTTGCTTGCAGGTGGGCTTTCGCTCTTCAGGCTGTTAATGGATGGAGTGCCTCCGCATGTCATTGAATCCTATATGCGTGAAGTGCAGCCCGACAAAACCGAGGGGAAGTGAGAGTCCGTCCACAGGGCTTCCTGCCAATGCGCTGGAAACTGGCAGCCGAATCACAGCATTTTAGTTCTTGCAATGGCAGAACAAACGTGTGGTTGGGAATTTTCTTTTTCTTTCTTTTTTTTTTTTTTTTTTTTTTTTTTGTTTTGTTCCTTATTTGTTGTTCTCTCTTTCCCTCCCTGCGCTTACCGAAAAGAAAGAATACGCATGGATTGCTTTGGGGTTGAAATGAACTGAAGACAACACACATTTTGTAAGGTTCAGCTTTATTTTCTGTTTGATGCAGTGCTTTGTTTCTTGGCAAGGGAAGAAGAGAGGCTGTGTAATAAGCATGAGGACGCAGTCAGAGTTGGTACTCGGTGGTACAAGGCATATTTTTCTCAGACTGAAACCATATGGATTAATGAGTAGCTGTGCAATAAGGCCTTTGGACTACATACCTCTTTGATAACATATCTTATTCACCTGAGAATTGTTTAACAGAATATGGTTTTACTATACGTAATTAATACAGATGTACTTAAAAGATCATTTAGGGTGAACTTAAGGATTATTAGGCTTCCTTTAGAAGTTTTGATTTCCTAAATCCCTCCCGTAGATATTCCAACTGAACTGAAATTGTTTTATTTAATGTACAATAAATATGACGTGTTTAAGACCTATCAAGTTATCGGTTGCTTTTCTTGTTGCTGTTGTAGCTGGTGCACCTCCCTTTGCCACATTTCCCGTTCGCTTTGCGCGCACTGCGAGGCAGGGGCTGGAGCCCTCCGCGCGGAGCAGCATCGGCCCTCACACGTCGTACTGCGCCTGCACCCGGAGCTACCGGCGCACACCACCACCGAAACAGCTATCCACTACAGGCAATTTAGCAGCTCTATGTTTCCAATATTTACAACATTTTAAATACCAACAGTGACAGCTTTCATCGTTGTGCATCAGCCCCTTTCCTCAACAATTCACCGAGCTCCTGTAGGTATCATARTATAGGTTATAAGCTAACTGACCAGTTACTCTCTTTGATCCTGGTATATCCAGACAATCGGTTACGAAAACCAGTAGCAAAGTCATGTCAAAATGCTTATTTTCAACTCAATGCCGTTTCAAGTATCTAGCATTTAGCAGTTATGGACCAACAAATGGATTTGTTGCTTTGAGCAACCTTTGCAGATCTGGTATTTTTATGCTTAAATTACCAATTCATCTTTCCCTCTGGGCACTTGATTCTAATTTCTTGCTTCGTTCTGTCAGTCTCACTTGCTCTGAGATCCTTTTCCTTTCTTCTCTCCTCTTGGTGATTTCTTCTGTGCAAGGAAGGAATTCTCCATTCTGGTGATGCTGTATCCACTAACCTGCATTTCACCCTGCTCCTACCAAAACCAATTCTTCCTCTTTTCCATGCAAACAAAAGCATGCAAGACCTCTAAGAAGAAAATGGAATTAATGTTTTTCTTTATTCTGTGTCTTACCAGTGAATGAAGTCTTTCTTCGTGTGTCATTAAGCCTGCAAGGCTGTGGGAAGCGGTCAGTTTGAACATGTGCCTTGCTGCTTTAAGCACCTGGCCTTCAGTTAAGACATATTATGATTAGCACCATAAGCTTTACTTAGCATGAGTTTGTGCTTTTCAGTGAGACAAAAGGGACACAGCCACCYGCGCTTTGTGCACAAACACGTTTACAGCTGCGAGCTTGTACACACGCTGCCTCAGCCTGAGGGTATCAKTTTTAGTACCGTGGTGGCCAGCACCAACCTCCATTTCTACAGGCTTTGTGCAGAAAGAATTAGCTACTCTGATTTCTACCAGATGGTGACAGCATTAAAAGGCAAGCTGAAGTAAGCTACTTTTCCCAGTCTGACCAGTAAGCTTCATATTCAGCTGCCCTTAATCCCACCTCAGTTGCTTTGCTGTTGGCTCCCCCTCAGGCCCAACATGCAGTGCCAGTGAGAAGCGCCAGGTACTGGGCCGCAGGTGGAGTCTGGGAGAGTGGGCAGCAGCTCCCACATTCATACTCACAGTACACTATAAATTCATACTCACAGTAACTTGGTCCTCACCAAGCCCCTGGGCTCAGAATTGATTGTAAATTACTTTTAGAGGAATGGCAGGGTACATACACTCCACTAGAAGCACAGGGYTGGATGGGATAGGAAAGGAGTTTCAAGATCTCAAACCAGATGAAGAACCTTATATAAAGAATAATGAAAGGTAGTTGTTCATTGATGATGTGTTCCCTGGTGGGTTTCTGCAGGGACAGTATTGAACAGAAGTGTCCCAAAACTCAAGAGTTAAGAGAATGCTAATGAGAACAGAGGTTAATATGACATTGAGAGGGTAGACATACTACAGGTAACAAAAACTTTAAGCGAAACAACCCAGGGACAGCAATAGCAAATGCAGAATATTRTGCTGTAAAATATATGGTCTAATGCTTTCAAGATGAAATTTCTCCAAAATAGGACCAAGTGGAATTTTAAAGAAATTCCACAAGCTCAGAGAGACCTAGGAATGAACCAGGACTAGAGACAAAGCCAGTCTTGTAATAGATACAACATGAAAGCAAAACAAAATTCCAAAAGGGAAACTGGTGGTGCTTATATGGATGATAGTTGTGTTCCCCGGTGTCCAGGAAGGTGTGAAACTCACTTGGTTTTCAGCTAGTTGTGTTGTTTGTATTGCCTGGCCCTATCTCAGCTGCTTAGGACATAGGCTGCAGTTCCACTCTGCTTTCATAGCACCATTAACCAGGTTTGTCCTGTTTGCCCACCCTTCACAAACCTGAAAGGAACTTAGTATTTTTGCCACCTCTATCTTGGTGCTCAGTTTGACTGAAATAGGTCAAGGTCTTCAAGGCCTGGAACAAGAAAGCAGACCTTAACAAATGCACTTGTGGATAAAAATAAAAA